ATATGCGCGCGCGAGCGCGAAAGACTAATGCCTTTAGCCTGTAAACTACTAAAGCAGTTGCCTTATCCTATGTTTGTAGGCCATGGAAATTTACTTCCAAGAGGAAATATTTAAAGACATCCTAATCAGGTTACCCGTGCGATCTCTTCTTCGTTTTAGATGTGTTTCAAAATTTTGGGATAAATCAATCTCCGATCCTTACTTTAAGATAAAGTATCTCAATCGTGTCAAGCAGTTGCGAAGTCAGGAAATTCAATAAAACACTTTTTGTCAGTGGGCGAGTCATGCAAAGGTGTTCAAAGACTATTTTACGTCAATAACAAATAATATTTTACCTTAAACATATTATAATTTTTCGGCGAAGGTGATCAACATAGCTTCGCCCCTGGACCGAATTGTTTAAAATATAAGATGTAGGTCTTTATTTAGTTAAACCGATATATAGGCATGCAGATGGTGAAGTATTACTACGTTGTAGATATATTTATCTATTGCTCGCAATTTTTTGTTTCTGCATTGTATTTACATATTATTATTTATCTAATTATATATACTAATTACTAGAACCAATGCACTGTTTATTCTGCAGCTGTAGTTCAGTGGAACTAATTTGATGATAATTAATAGTAATCAGAATTAGTTAATTGCACTGTTTATCCAGTGTTCTCCCATTCTATATGCAAGAAACATTTTCTTTTAAAAAGGATTAATTGTTATGAGCACTTCCCTTCGAATGGGCCCTATGCGATGCGAATCCGGATATACTTTAATGCGGGTATCGGGCATCAGGTGGGAAACCAAAAAAAATGACTGTTATAAGTTTCTTTTTTATTGCTATCGAATATGGCGGTTCAAAATCGAATTGTAACCGTTAACCGAATCGAACCGATGGCCTATTGGTTTATCGGTATCAGGTTATCGGGATAATGGTTGGTAAACGGATTGAGATTTTATAATTAACGGCTTAACAGTTTGGGGCCGGATCACTCGATTTTCTTATCGGATAAATCGTTAACCCGTTATAAATTTTTATATTTACACTTTTATATGGGTCCACAGAAGTTACAGGAGTATTATCAGAAAATAAACCTGAAATGCCTTCAAGTTTTAAGTCAAGTTTTGTGGGTGTAGTACATTCCGATTGTATATAAGTTTTCAGCTAGTCTGACCAGTTTTCCATCTTTTTCTTTTTTTGATATGAAACATGATAGCTATGCAACCAAAAGAAATACTTATAGCAAGTGCAGTACAAGCTACAAAGTGTTAACAACAGATGTTTATAAGCCTAGTAAACTAAAAAGGGGATGGAACTTATAGTCGAGTCACTTTATCAGATTTGGCCGTTTGGTATTCATAACTAGTATTGTTCAATAAAAAATTATTTGATTTATTCGATAAATTTCTCGATAATCTTTAATCCGATACCAATCCATCCTTATCTTATTGGATGACTAGCGGAATACTATATTTACAATCCGACAACCGATAAGCCAAACCATTAAGCATAATTATCGGCCTGATCCGCTACGTAATCACGAGTCTTGCTTGTCTCTTTTCTTAACTATATATTTGTGGCAATAAAACGTACAAAACATCAAAAATACATTACATGGAAATAGACCATTACTATTTCTTGGTGTTTGTTGAACCGCAATGACAGTCATGAATGTAGCTTTTCTTTGTCGGTGCACAAATAGATTATATAAGTGGAGGTGGCGTAACGATTTCAATTTTGATGAGTTTTGAATTTTATAACAACGATTTTAAAGATTCTAAATTGAATATTTTAATTTTTTTAATACAATACACTTGACAATAAGTCATTATTGTTGTTCTTAACCAATAACATCAGTGTGGAAGGGATTGAATCTCTCTGTCTTTAATTAGAAGTTGTAAATTTGAGCACTTGAATAAAAAAATCTCGTAGGAAGCATTTCTCCTTTAGTGCGTTTTACGCGATGTGATTCTCGATTAGTGAATTAATACCTCATGCATTGGGGGAGGGGAGAGGGAGTAGCACTAGTATATACAAGTGGTTTTTCCAAATAATTATTCCTTATGTTCTAATTTATGTGAAAACACTTTCATTTTTAGTATGTCTCAAAAAGAGTGATATTTTTTTATATTTATATAATATTTAATTTTAAACTTCTCATTTTATCTTTAATCAAATGATTGATAACATACAAGTATATAGAACTTGTTTTAGACTATGTTTGACCAAAAAGTATGAAACCTTTTGTTAAACTAATTAAATAAAAATGTGATGGGTAAATCCTAGTTAAATATAATAAGTTCTAGATCTAACACGTGCTTGTATAAATAATGTCGAATAGCGTTTGAACCACCTTAATACAAACAGTATTAAATGATGCTATCAAAAATGAATGGAGGGACAATGATGAGCAATAAATATATTAAATGGCAATAAATGTAAATATATTGAATGAAGTGGATGATTCTTCTCTTTGACAATGATGTAAGACAAATGGATATTGGAATATATGAGGTTATCTCGGATTTGATGTGAGAAAAGGTAAGATAAATAGCAAATTGAATCCTTGTGGAAAGGTGATATTCTTGTATTGTCTGCCTAGAGTCAACTTTTTACAAGAGTTCTTATCAGGATCATTATTACATGTCTTTTGCCCTATCTCTTCTACTATTTATATGAGATACTCCCCAAAAACTCTAGAAAACTCTAGCCGTTATACGTTTTCCTACTGCTCGACCTCGGTTTTGATGGCTTACTTGGCGGCCCCATAATGTCAACCCCTGGTCGAACTCGACCTAGTCGCCCATGATGAGCCATCGTCCTCGCACTTGGTCACTTCTTCATGCCGAATTTTTCTGGTCGGATTTTGACCCATACAATTAGTTCCTCCGCTTATCGCGGTCATCTTTTGGTCGACCTCAATGAGCGGACTTTATTAATCGCAATTCTTGAGAAATTCGGACGTGGAGGTCAGGTTGTGGTGATCGCTGCCGAGGTGATGACGTGTCGCTCCGAGAGCTGCAGTCAATGAGGCAGGTTCAGGGTGACGTCACAACTGCATGTGTCATTATTACACATCTTCCCGATGCGTTGCATTGTTCCTTGAGTCCTTGTCGTTTCGATTCTAGTGTTGTTTGGCGGTTGTTTGTATCGATTTGAGCGTCATGGTTTTCTATAAATAAGGAGGGGGGGCCTTTTGTAGAAAACTTTACTCTCTCTGATTTTTCAATCTTGCTCATCATTTTTTCTCCTTCTTCCTGTGTCCATATCACCATTTCTTCTACACTTTCAGTTCCATCGTAAGATATATTAGCAGAAGATGATTGGCATAACTCCTAACCCTGAGATTACCTCATACCCAACTCCGCTGTCAGTGGCCATGCCTTCTGACGGAGGGGAGCCATAGTTATGGATGATGAAAGCTTCCCTACCGTGGAAGAAATCGTTCCATGTAACCCAGGCTCCAGGTCGGATTTTTCGAAGTTACATGTGCATGACCCCGAGCCCGTGAAGTCGGAGATGGAGGCAACCCATATAGCCACACCCAGGGCCAAATACAACATCCCTGCTCATGTTGACCTGGTCCAGCTAGGGACGACATGATCCAGGTTCATCGTCCCGGGTATTGTACGTTTTACGCATACCCGTTCCAAGTGGGTTACTCTCTCCTTCTTCCTCTGTTGGCGGAGGAATTCTGCCTTTACTACGGCGTCTTCCCGGTCCAACTCTCCCCCTACATTTACAAGCTTTTCCTTATGCTGACAAAGTTTGCATAGCTGGCCGACTGTGAAATTTCTATCCGCCATTTGTTGCGCCTCTTCGCGCCAAGCTTCCATAGGGGCACGATGATTCATCTTCTCCACCGCGGGACTAAGGGGCTAGTGGCGAGAATGGACAATAAGGAGAATCGTCAGTTTTTGTTCAACTTCTTTTTTTAAAAAAACAAGCACATGGTGGCGAGCGCTAGTGGATTTCCTGAGTAGTGGAACTTCGCCCATAAGTGCTTTTGTTGATTGAAGTACTTTCCTTCCTTTTTTTCCTGTTTTGTGGCTTGATCGTTCTCTTTTCTTTCCGTTTAGCTGAGAAACATCCTCCTTTGTTGGTCGTTGATATTTGTGACTGGGTGGCCCAAGTCTTGTCCCACACAGTAGGGATCCATGATTGGGCGTCTTTCAACACGAAATTTGGACCCAAGCCTTCGACTGGTAAGTCAGATTTCGTTCTTTAACTACTTCGACCTCATTACAGTCACCTTCTCTTTTTTTTACTTACAATTTCCCTTTTGGTGTCAGGTCGAAGAGCTCCAAAAAAGGCAAAGGCTCCCGTTCCCGCATTTCGCCAAGCGGGTGCCTCGACTGGGTCGCAATTTGTGTTAACCGAGTCCGTGCGGAATACTTCCTCTCAGACTTCGACTTTGAGTAGGCCCAGTCATCGGGCGGCTGCTCCACCAGTGGAGACTCCAGCCTTCCCGATATTACGTCTAGTAGACGAGTCTTCACTGGGTGATGAGGAAGTTGCTTTGCTAAAAAGGCGGAGAGTGGAGGTTGACGAAGTGGTTACGGCCGTGGCCGCACCTGAGAGTGATGTTGTTGTGAGCGTGGAGTCTACACATCCTTCAATTGTAGAGACTATTCTCCCGCTAGAGGTTGCCATGGAAGGGAGACGGTCAGAGGCGGTAGAGGTCGCCATAGAAGAAGGGCGATCAGAGGTAGCGGAGGTCGTGTCGTCATCCACCGAGGGAAAAGGAAAGAATGTGGTTGTGGACGATGATGGGTCTGGTTCTGACATAGACCCTGAGGAGGTGCAGATGTTTGACGAGGGGTTCAGTCGGGTAGAGGTGAGAACGGAGGGATCTATCCGAAACATCGTCATTCCCTTGGACTATAATTTGTTAACTAACTCGGAGAGCATGGTCCCAACTTTGATTCCCCTCTGCATGGGCTCTGAGAATAGGACCTTGTAGACACTTAAGGATGCCGACCTTTCGTTAGGCATCTCCAGGATGGCCCTGCGAGTAAGTTTTTTGTCATTTTTGTGTTCTCCTATCTTTTCCTTTTCCTTACCTTGTTCGTCTTTGACTATTTTCTACCTGTTTATCAGACTCTCATTCATGAGATTGAGTGCGCCCATCGAGAAGAGAAGAGGAAGGCTCTCTATAAAAGAATAGAGTCCAAGTATAGGGAGTATCGTACCAAGCATCGCACATTGAGTAGCATACTCGGAGAGGATAGTCAGTTCCAGTCTCTCCGGGACGAGTTGAAGCAGAAGGATGATGACCTGAAGCAGAAGGATGATGAGCTCATGAGAGTCATCAATAGATGTAGCGAGCTTGAAAGAACGTTGAGAGTCAAGGAGGACGAGCTTGAGGTAAGCAAAGGGGTTGTGGCCGAGTACGTCGACCTTCAGGCTTAGATGGCATCCTTGCAGGCCGAGCTTGAGCAGAGTAAAGCTAAAGCCAAAGGCTTGAGTGACGAGTTGGCCATAAAAGCTACAAAGTTGGAGAGAGCCGAGAAAACCAGGACGACGGTTGTGGCAAAGGCGGTGGCATTAGCGGGTTCCATCCGTGTCCTCAGATCTGAGCGGGCAAATAAAGTGGAGATGTATGCGCTTAAGGAAGCAAGCTTGAAGAACGGATTGGTGGCCTAGAGACAAAGTTTCAGACTTGAACGAGCATATTGCCGTCCTCAAGACCGAGAAGGCGCAGCTATTGGCTCAACCGTCTTCCTCCCATGTTTCCACTTACCTTGATGTTCCATGGGATTTGTACGGGAAGTGGATTCATGTTGAGGCTAGCCTAGACATATTCAGGGGCTTGATGACGGCCAGGAAAGCTACTGAGGCAGAATTTGAGGATGCTCGTGTTAAGACACGTGCAGCTCGGGACGCTTATGGCTACGATCCCGGTACGCCCGGGAGGGTGATGGTAAAGATGATTTAGACGGGCTCGAGCCAGGTGCTTGGTATGATGATTAATACTCCAACGACGAGGGTGCTGGTGATGATGGCGATGGGGGTGATGCTACCGAGTAGTGTACTTGTTTTGTAATTTTGTTGTTCTTTTTTCCTTTTCTGTTTTGCGGGCATTTGTTTGGCCCTTTTAAGATACCTTTTGGAATGATACTTTTGATGTCCGTTTCTGAGTTTCTCATTTTTCCTTCGAATGTTTTCCTCAATTGACTGCTTTGATTGCAATTCGAGGAATTGTTTCTTAATTAGTTCGAGCCAAGTCGTATGCAAGTGTCTTAATTAATTCGAGCAAGGTCAAATATGAGTCGATTCGAACGGGGTGGAATGTTGGCTTGTAATTAGTTTGATCGAGGTCGAATATGAGTCGATTCTAACGAGGTCGAATGTCGACTTTTCAGCTAATTCGAACGAGGTCGAATATGAGTCGATTCAGCGAGGTCGAATGTCGACTTTTAAATTAATTCAAATGAGGTTGAATATGGGTCGATTCGAGCAAGGTCGAATGTTGACTTTAAAATTGACTTGAACAAGGTTGAATGTAAGTTGATTCGAGCAAGGTCGAATGTTGAATTTAAAAATGATTCGAACGAGTTCAAATGTAAGTCGATTCGAGCAAGGTCGAATGTTGACTTTAAAATTGATTCGAACGAGGTCGGATGTAAGTCGATTCGAGTAAGGTCGAATGTAAGTCGATTCGAGCAAGGTCGAATGTTGACTTTAAAATTGATTCGAACGAGGTCGGATGTAAGTCGATTCGAGCAAGGTCGAATGTTGACTTTAAAATTGATTCGAACGAGGTCGAATGTTGTTCCATGGATTAGCTTAATGTGTAAACTTGGTGGAGACATGTGAACATCATGTGTTTGCATATTTCGCTTTGTTTATACATTATTGGATAAGTTTACATGTTTTTGCTATGTTCATACATACATTGGAGAAGTCTCAGTCTATCTAGTCCCTTCATTGGTCGACCTGGAAAAGTAGTTGAGAGGTCGAGCGATGAACTTATACTTAACTTCGAGAAGCCCTCTTCGTTGCCTCGTTATAAACCTCCTCGAGAAAATCCAATTGGGACAAAACTCGGATGATGTAAAAAGAGTACGACCTGGAGGACGTCTATCCTTAGAAGTTGAAGTATTTGAGGTGGGCGACGTTCCAATTGTTTGGTAGTAATTTTCCCTCCGTTGTTTCTAGTTGGAATTGTTAGCTTCAAGGTTTCACGTATTAGTTTTGATGATAACAAACTACTAACATAAATACTAATCAAAGAGTATTTACTTGTGGTAATCTTATTTTTATACCGGAAAGAAAATGCTGGTAAAGATCCAAGCAAATATGGGAAAGAGAATATCATGTGAAGAATTTATTAAGGAAGATTATTTTCAGAAATTTAATCTCCAAGCGTCAAAGAAGGAATAATATTTGAAAGTGAAATTTTAAATATTGAATGGCTTATTACAATATCAAAAGAACAATCTATGGAAACTATGGATGGAAAGCTCTTCAACATCGTGAAAGGAAAGTTGCTAAAATCATGGAGAAGATCTATTATTTTGTGGTGGAAAGATACTATATGGAAGAGATATTACAAGGCAAGGAAGAATATATTTCTTATGGAAAGAAAATATATTATGAGTATAGTATATTCTTTATTGTAGAAAGAGATTATTTTTCAAGATCAAGAAAGGATTCAAAGATATATTGAGATCTATCAAAAAGGAAATATTTTATTGGAAGAAGATAGCATGGTTTATTTTAAGGAGCAAATCTTTTACACCAATCAAGGAAGTCTATTAAGAAAAGGAAAGAGGTGTTCTACGGAAGGAGCACTACATAAAAGAATATTAGAGGGTGCATATGTGTAGCTACAAAGATATGATCAGTACCTATTCAAAAGGAAACTATGTAACAAAGGAAGTTCCAATGTCAAATTGTCCACAAGGAAATAAATGGCATCAATATGTACTCCACAAAATCAGTTAAGAAAGATTTTGTGAGCAATTACAAGAAAGTAGCGGGTGTCATGGACTCACACTCAGAAGGCAAGAAATACAAAGTGTCCTAGTTCAAATGACATGTCATGGCAATTTATGGAAGCAAATAAAATTAGAAAAGGACATGATCAAGACAAAATATGGAGTATCAATTGACAAAGACTACTATCAGCAACCAAGGAAGGATTCAATCAAGAAAGGAAAACAAATATTCTTGAAGACCCATTCACAATGATCAAGAGAATCATTTCTAAATATTCTTGGGTTATGCATTAGCCAGAAGATGTTGAAAGGCTATGAAAAGGAGATCTACAAAGGAAGAAAGCACACAGCCTTCTATATAATTGTCTATCCAACTACAAGTTCTTTATTCTACTCTTAACAAGCATTGTAATTCACTTTAGTAGATTTACTGTATACACAAAAGAGAGAAGAGAGACAGAAAAATATTGGAGAGGCGGTGTGTCCGGAGAGGTTGTGTCATTGTTTGTTTTTTGATGAGCGAGTGAAAACCAAAGGGTCGTTGTTGGTGAGCGAGTGAAAACCAAACCTGTAAACGTTGGTGGTGAATTTTGAAAATCACACAAGCTGTACTTAATACAAATTACAAAGAGCTCAAGAGATAACATCCTTGCAACCTAAGGAGACTGGATTAGGATATCACATTGGTTCCGAACCAGTATAAAATTCCTGGTGTCATTTATTATACATCTTACTGTTTATTGTGAGTAGTATCTATTTAAATTGAAGTACTAACAATTTTGGTGTAGGCTGTTTCCGCATAAGTCGACTAGGTCTGAAGAGTAGTTGACTAGAAATTTAAAAAGGCTACAATTCAACCCCCTCCCCCTCTTATGCTTTCAGGAACGACCCTTTGCTTACTGCAGAGTGATTTTGTATGGGCCGTCCCAATTGGTCCCCATTTTACCTTCTTGTAGATCCTTGGTCGCCTGTGTTTTGGCCTTGAGTACATAGTCCACGACTTTGAGTGACCTGACCTTGGCTTTTTTGTTGTAGCACCGATCTACCTATTTTTTTTAGGCTACCATTCTTATGTAAGCCATGTCTCTTCGTTCTTCGACCTCGTCGAGGTCTTGCCTTCTGATTTTATCGTTGCTTGGCCTGCTCTCATTTGAATATCATAGACTTGGTTCTCCGCCTCGACCGGTATCACTACATCAGTCCCATAGACTAGTGAATATGGCGTTTCCCCTGTGCTTGTCTTTGGCATGGTGCGGACGCCCACAACACTTCTGGAAGCACCTCTGGCCACAGTCCCTTGACATTTTCGAGTTTCTTTTTCATGATATTCAATATCGTTTTGTTAGAGGATTCAGCTTGTCAGTTGCCTGCTGGGTGATATGGTGTAGAGAGTATTCTTTTGATGTGCCATTTCTCGAAGAACTCAGCGACCTTCTTCCTTGTTAATTGGTGTTCGTTGTCACAACTAATTTCTTTGGGGATTCCGAAGCGGTATACGATGTTCCTCTATATAAAGGCAATCACTTCTTGTTTGCGTATTTGGGTGAACGCACCTGCTTCCATTTAGAAAAATAGTCGGTTAAAACCAAAAGAAATCGTACATTACCTCGTCCTCCGGGAAGGGGGCCGACGATATCCATTCCCATTTGATGAAGGGCCAAGGCGGAGTGACTGAGAGGAGGTGCTCGCCCGTTGGGTGGATCATGGGGGCGTACTTTGGGCATGGTTCACATCTTTTAACAAAATCAGCTGCTTCTTTTTTCATTGTGGGCTAGTAATAGCCTGCTCGTATGAGACATCTGACTAGGGCTCAATTTTCGGTGTGAGCCCCGCAGTGACCCTCGTGGACCTCTTCCAGGACGAGTCGTATCTGGTTTGGTCCCAAACATTTTGCTAGAGGGCCGCCATAGGTCCTTTTGTATAGATCGTTGTTGATGATGTTATACCTGGTTGCTTGCATTCGAAGCTTTTTGGCTTCTTTTTTGTCGTTTGGGAGCACGCCGTCCAGCAGGTAAGCAACAATACGGTTGCGCCAATCCCAAGTTAGGTTAATAGTGCATACCTCAATTTGGTTGATGGTCGAGTGGAGGAGAGTGACCACATTCTCTTTTTCGGTTATGCTTTGGTGGTTGTCGCTGATTTGGCGAGGCCGTCCCCCTCGATGTTCTGCGTTTGAGGTATTTGGCTGAGCTGGTATTCGTCGAACTCGGGCAGTAACTTGTAGATCTCGGCCTGATATTTTTGTAGCCTTTGCTCTTTGATTTGGAAAGTCCTTGTTACTTGATTGACGATGAGTTATGAGTCGAATCGAAGGACTACCCGTCGTTCTCCATACTTGAGTGCCATTTTTAACCCTGCAATCACGGCCTCATTGTTAGTCATATCAGGACACCGTATGTACTAGCGAATTATCTCACATGTCGAGACCTCAAGTACGAGTCCCAATCCAAATCCTGACGCATTGGAGGCGCCATCGGTGTGCAAAATCCATAGGGCGTGTGTCTTGGGGAAGTACTAGTGGCTTCCCTTTCGACCTCAGGCATTACTTTAGCGCTAAAGTCGGCGACGAAGTAGGCAAGTACTTGCGGCTTTATCGTTGCTCGCGGTTGATAGGTTATACCGTGCTCGCTCAATTCAATGGCCCATTTGGGCAACCTACCCAACAGCTCGGGCTTGTATAGGATACTCCTTAGAGGAAAAGTTGTGACCATCGAGATGGGGTGGCAGGGGTGGCACTGGAAATAAGGTCTAAGCTTTCGTGAAGCTACAACTAAAGCCAAGGCTAGATTTTCGAGGTGGGGGTACCTTGTTTCATCGTCGACCAAGGTCTTGTTAATTTAGTAGATTGGAGATTGCATACCCTTATTTTCTTGGACCAGGTCTATGCTTACTGCAACGTCGGACACGGCTAGGTAGATGAGGAGGTGTTCTCCGGGTTCTGCCTTAGCAAATAGCGAGGGCGAAGATAAGTACGCCTTTAATTCTCTTAGGGCGTCGGCGCACTCAGAATTCCATTGGAGTTTGTTGTCCTTTTTTAGCAAGGGGAAGAATTTGTGGCATCTAACAGAGGATCATGAGATGAACCTCGATAGGGTGGCTATAAAGCCGGCCAGCTTCTACACTTGTTTCTTGCTGATTAAGTTATCCGGTATTCCCTCTATAGCCTTGATTTGGTCGGGGTTAACCTCGATGCCTCTTTATGACACTAAAAAGCAGAGGAACTTTCCTGAGGTTACGTCGAAGGCGCATTTCTCGGGGTTTAATTTCATGTCGTACCGCCTGAGTATGTCGAAGGCTTCTCTTAAATGGTCGATATGGTCTTCCTTTCTTTTCGACTTGACCAACATGTCATCTATATATACTTCCATGGTTTTGCTGAGCTGTTCCTTGAAAATTTTGGTTACTATCCTCAGATATGTCGCCCATGCGTTTTTCAATCCGAACAGCATAACTTTGTAGTAGTACGTACCTTGGTGGGTAATGAAAGTAGCTTTTTCCTAGTCTTCCTTCTCTATGAGGATCTGGTTGTAACCCGAATAGGCGTCCATGAAACTTAACAGTTCGTGTCCTGCTGTTGCATCAATGAGCTGATCAATGTGTGGCAGTGGGAATGAGTCTTTTGGGCATGCCTTGTTCAGATCTGTGAAGTCTACGCACTTTTCCATTTCCCATTTTTCTTTTTCACCATGACCACGTTGGCGACCCATTGTGGGTATTTTAACTCCCTGATGGATCCTTTTCAAGTAATTTTTCCACCTCTTCGTGGATGACATCATTTATTGCAATATTGAATTTTCTTCTAACCTGCCATACCGGGGGGTAGAGTGGGTTGACATTCAATTTGTGTTTTGCTATTTTCTTCAAGATTCCCGGCATATCTGCATGAGAAAAGGCAAACAAGTCCGCACTGTTAGTTAAAAATTGATGGAATTTACCTGGTTCTTGGAGTTTGTGGCCGATATAAGCCTTTTTGTTGTGGTCGTTCTTATCGAGCTAAACGGGGTCGATGTCTTCCACAGTTGATCCCGTAGCCTCCACGAATTCGGGGTCCTTGATGAAATCTTTCCCTTCATCGTCATCCGTCCTCGACCTCGCTAATTGTTATGCTTCTGCGTCTTTGCCTTTCAACTGTTGGGTGTATGTGCAGTCTTGGGCAATGCGATAGCATTCTTGGGCTATGTGCTGCTCACCGCAGATGCTGAATACTCCCCAGAGGGTGGGAAACTTGACAACCTGATATAAGCTGGATGGGATGGCCTATATAGCGTGTATCCAAGGCCGTCATATGATGGCATTGTACGCCGTATCTTGATCCATAATCTGGAACGTTATTTCCAGGGTGATACCACCGGCCAGAACGGGTAGTGTGATTTCTTAAGAAGTCCGCTCAACTGCATTGTTAAAACCCATTAGTGTGATGCAGCATGGCACTATCTTACCTTCGAGCCTCATTTGTGTAAGGACTCAAGGATGGATAGTGCACACGCCGCTTCCATCATCTACCATAATCCATTTTACATCGGTATCTGAAATACACAAAGTAATAACAAGAGCATCATAGTGAAGAAAGGTCAAACCGTGGGTATCTGACTCGTCGAAGATGATACTTTCTTCGAGGTCGTCATACTGTTCATGGATGATCAATCGTTTCAACTTGTGGGTGGTTGTCAACTTTACGTTGTTGATTGTTGCGTCGTCACCTCCTCCAATGATCATTTGGATGGTGCAGGCTGGGGAGGGTGGCTTTGGGGGCCTTGATGTTTTTCTCATCCTCGAGCGAAGTTAGTTCTTCCTCGGTCGCCCATCAGCTCTCTCAAATGCTCTTGGTGGAGTATGTTTACTACCTCTTGCCTCAAGGCGATGCAGTCTTCGATCTTATGACCTCCTTCCTGATGGAATTCACAAGGGGGTGTTCGACTTTCTGGTGTTTAGGTCAGACTTCATCTTTTATGGCCATTTCACCTTTGGGCGTTCTCTTTTGGATGGACCGTCGCCATTGCCGGGGGGGGGAGGGGGGTATTGGCAGTAGTTCTAACGTATGGCTGGTGTCTTTCACATTTGAGACGTGGACCTACATGATCCCTTCTGTTATCGTTTCTACGATCTTTTCTTGACTCCATCTGGATCGATGTTAATCGTTGGGTTAGTTCATTGAGGTCGTCCTCGTCTGCTCTCACCTCAGCACAATAGGTACTGTGTATTTCATCCCAAGTGGTGGGGAGTATTTCATGAGCCGATTCAACAATTTTTTGGTTTCCCTTGAACCGCTCATGTTCAGCCCATTTTGGAACGCTGCTACTGCCATTCCTTCTGATACATTTAGGAGAGTCATTCTAACACGGTTGAATCGGGGTGAGGAAGTCCCTGAGTCCTTCGCCAAGTGATTGTTTAATGGCAAATATATCATTCACTCTCGCATCTGCTTTCTTGGCCCCGGCATGTGCGGTGACGAACTTTTCGGCCATTTCCTTAAATATTTCTATGGAACGCACTGACAGTTCTGAGTACCACGTCAGCGCTCCCGCGGTTAGGGTTTCACCAAAGTTTTTCAGCAATATGGATGATACTTGCTCTTTCGCAAGGTCGTTGCCCTTTAATGCAGTGACATAGTGAGTGATGTGATCTTCAAGGTCTGTTATGCCGCCATATGTTTTCAAGTATGGTGGCATCGTGAATGTTTTAGGTATAGCATGTGGTATGGCCTTGTCGCTGTACGGTTGTTCCACGAACCGGCCAACGTCTATTTTGGTAAGAGCTTTGTGGCGCCTGGTATCTTGTCTACTCTTTCTTGGTGCTCCCTCATTTGGTCGCGGAGCGCTTTGCTCTTGGTCTCCATCTCCTCCATTTTTCTTAGAATAGCTGTAAGGGTACCGTTATCTGCATCATTAACGGTGTGAGTGATACCTGTTGAAGGAGGAGGGACGTGCTGCTTATTGGTTGTTGTTGTGATGTCGAGTATGCTGGTCAGCGTACTCGTTAGCCATACTTCTAGTAGTTTCTTCACTGCTGGTGGTGCTTCTTCCATTGTGGACGTAGAGGCTCCTTTTCCATGGGAGGTGGTAACGATGCCATGAGGAAGGGGAGAACCACTTCTCCTAGGGGAAGTGTTTGGTGTCATGTTCTCCTTGTCTGCTCCATCAACCTCATTGATGGTGTTTAGGAGGTTAGCAGTAAGGCCTGCCACTGCCTTCAATCTTTCCTCTCCATTACCTACATGTTAGACTGTGCAAGTAGGAAAAAGGAATTTTTGTGTCATGCTGTTGTTGTTTTTTTTAGATCTAGAAAAACTATGACTTTGACTAAAAAAATTCCCAGAGACGGTGCCAAACTGTTTGACCAAAAAGTATGAAACCTTTTGTTAAACTAATTAAATAAAAAGGTGATGGCTAAATCCTAGTTAAATATAATAAGTTCTAGATCTAACACGTGCTTGTATAAATAATGCTGAACGGCGTTTGAACCAACTTAATATAAACAGTATTAAATGATGCTATCAAAAATGAATGGAGGGACATTGATGAGTAATAAATATATTAAATGGAAATAAATATAAATATATAGAATGATTCACTCAAATATTGAATGAGGTGTATGATTCTTCTCTCTAACAATGATGTAAGACAAATGTATATTGGAATATATGAGGTTATCTCGGATCTTATGCGAGAAAATGTGAGATAAATAGCAAATCGAATAGTTGTGGAAAGGTGATATTCTTGTATTGTCTACCTAGAGTCAACCTTTTACAAGAGTTCTTATCAGGATCAATATTACATGCCTTTTGCCCTATCTCTTCTACTATTTATATGAGATACTCCCAAAAAACTCTAGAAAACTCTAGTCGTTATACGTTTTCCTACTGCTCGACCTCGGCTTTGATGGCTTACTTGGCAGCCCCATACTGTCAACCCCTGGTCGACCTCAACCTAGTCGTCCATGATGAGCCACCATCCTCACACTTGGTCACTTCTTCATGCCGAATTTTCTCGGTCGGATTTTGACCCATACAGACCACAATTTCAGAATTCTTTCTTTCTTTCTCAAACTTTATTTTTAGTCAAAGTGCGGCAACCCGGTGCACAAAACATCTTGCATTCATGCAGAACTCGGAGAAGGACCACACCCTTAACGCAAGCATTAGTTACTGTTTTGCACGACTCGAACCCGTGATCCACAGATCACATAAAAATAACTTTACCGAAATTTCCCTTCAATTTTTTCTTCAAAGTGCATCACATAAAATGAATGGAGAGAGTGCTAGTAGAAGTCTCTCTAATATAGTGCAATATATGTAGGCCATAGTTGAATAAGCTTTTTCAAGAAAATGCTGATTCATGACAAAACGCTTGGATTGATCTCAGTCGTTGATCTCCACTTTAATACAATCAATCCCATCAATCTGTTGTCTGCAAATTTCTCCACGTAACTCAGTTTTCCTTTTTCTTAATTAATATTGTCACACCTCCTTTTTTACCGGTAAGGGCAATAAGGGAGTTTTTCCACTTGAAGTGACATTATTCGAATTTGGGATTAATTTATTTAATTTTCAAAGTCGCCACCCGAATTTTTACGGTGTTCCGGGACACCATTCATTTATTAAAATCCCAAACCGAGGAAATTTTGACTCTGTTTAAAATGTCTGCGAACCAGAAATCCAGGTAAGGAATTCTGTTAACCCGGGAGAAGGTGTTAGGCACTCCCGAGTTCCGTGGTTCTAGCACGGTCGCTTAATGATTAAACTTGGCCTAAATTGCTGATTTAATACCTATGTGCATTTTACATTTTTTTTATTCAATATTTGAAGAATTATTCAAAAGCGAGTTACGTATGAATAGCCCGTTGAAATTGGATATGCCAAAAATTATGTCATGCGAACATGTACATAATTCATGACACTTAATTCAATTAAAAAAAAATACGTCACGCAAGCATGTACGTGATTCCGATGATAATAAAAAAAATCGTTCCTAAAAGTGTCTCTACGAGTGTTCATTTTAATCTTTATTTGTGTTACGTGAAACGTATACACAATTTGAGAAAAGGGGTGTATTTTAGTTATTTGATTCAAAGTTACGCGAACGTATACTTTGATTGTTAATTGTTTCCTAAGCCTAAAGTATCCACTATTTAATTAAAGAAAAGGTTGAACGTTTACTATATCTAAGGTAAATTCCTAAATTAAATCAATAAGACCAACCTAGAGAATATTTCTAAATAAAAAGACATATATGATCTTATTCTAAACATAAGTAAGAGTTTGGGCTATGGCCTAATTTAAGCCCATTTAGAAATTAACACTTTAGGCCAATCTTGACTTTGGCTATTTGTGAAAGAAGAAGTTCATGCAATTTAACTCTACACTACTAAGTTAATGATACAAATAAAAAATATGGATCAAAATTTAAAACAACTAAACAGAAAAAAATTTTAAACAATAAACTGCTAAATCTAGTCATTACAGATGCTAAAACTGTATTCAGGTATTTCGAAATTTAAAACAAAATAAATCTGGAAATTTTGGACAGTTTAAAATTAATAACAGTATTAGGCCGAATTCTAACGATATTTAAACTCGGTTGCAATCTAACAATCATATTGCCTAACGTGTTCCATATTATATTAAATTTAAAGCGGTTTGTAACTCTAAAACTTTGGGCTTCATACCCTTAGGCCTAATGACCTTGGGTGTAGACTTGCTCGGGCCCGTTGGACCTTTTTTATAAATCTACCCGGTTTAACTAGTAAATCGCTGATTTTTACAAAATAGCCTATTAGTGTCATAATCCAAAATCAAGGGATATATAGTCTATTAAAAAATTTTAATTCCTGCGAAGAACATTCAATTAAATTTGAAATCGATATGTTTATAATAGCAAAATATAAAACAGAAATTTTGCTAATATAGCCGGGATTTTCAGTTTTAGGTGCTGAAATTACTTGAAAATGNTTCAGTTTTAGGTGCTGAAATTACGTGAAAATGTAAACTACTGAAATTAATACGATTATACAGTCCATTACAGCTAAAATGGAAGAAAAGAAAGGAATATAGCTAGTTTAACAAAAAATTAAAATTATACATGGCCATATAAAGATTGTACATAAAATCCTACTATTTTTTAAACTATAAACTGCCTCAGTTTCAATGGCTCATGATTTTGAAACCTGCATTTTACCAGTTAAAGAGGAAATAAAGTGAGACAGCTTTATGCATTCTTAAAGGAGGTAATCTGACCATTATAGGGTCAGATTCGTTTCCTTAATGCAAGTCAAATTAAAAAGGATGAACATGACATGTTTATATATTTCTAAAGAGCCTTAAACTATTCACACATATCAAAAAT